CCCGGAGAGCCCAGCACATCTGTCAGCTCATTGTCTGGAGAACAAAGAGGAAAACAACAGAAAAAATGCAAAATGCATTTAAAAATACTCTTTCATTTCCCTTTTCGCCAGAAGCAGAAGTACTTAAATAACAGAGGACAAAAGCAGTTCTTGCAGAATTTCCAAGAATTGGGAAAAATAAAAAGTCCTGTGAGAAGGACTGTTGGTAGGAGACTTCCACCCCTGCCCTGCCAGACCTGGGTGCACTGGGAGCTGCCTCCCCGTCCCCAAAGCAAACGCCAGCCGTGCGGCTGCACTGTTCCCAGCCACACCAGTTCCTTTGCATACGTGTCCCCTATTCATTCTAAAATCAAGCTTTCAGAAAGGTATCAGGCAAATTTTTCGCCCCCTTCAGTATTTTTCTTCTGCAAATTGCTTGGCTAAAAGGCTCAACAGAATATAAAAATCAAAGGGGTAGAGATTAAAATCTAAAAAAAAAAAAAAAAAGTAATAAGGCATTGCTAAAAGATGTGTCTGGGAAGTGTGGGTGACAGTAGATTTAAGAAATATTTGTAGCCAGATGAAGCAGCCAGTCTGTGTACAAATGCCCTGTCACTATGGATGTACTCTAGTAGCACGGGGGTTACTTTGATGGTATTCCATGCAAGGGGATCAAATTTTATTTTCCTCTATAAATACGATTTTGTGTAAGTCAGAATGGAGAAGAGCTGCGTGGATGTAATTAAGAGCAGAAAGACCTCCAGTGGTTCAGAGGCTGTTGCACACGCAGTGAGGTGCTTTTACCCTGAGTACGGTGAATATCTGGTGGTTTATAGTGACTCCAGGACTGCCGGGGCACTCTGTTGCAGCCCGCCGGGGAGGCAGTGCAGAGGTGCGGATCCACTGGGCTTGTTCCTCGATCAGAGGAGATGTACTGCTAGATACCATGTGCTGAGGTTTCATACTGCACATATAAGAAACGAGTATAAATAGTAAGAGGGCATGCACAACAACAATCGGGCACCCTATATAGCTGGTTTCCCAATTATGGTAAGAAGCTGTCCGCATTGAACTACTTCTAGAAAAACCTACGGCTCCCGTGAGAATTCAGAGCACCTGCCAGTTTCACTGTGCAGCACCTCTAAAAACGAGCCCTGAAGTAGCTCGGTTTGCTTGCTTCCATCTATGGGCACCCTATACCAGATCTGGAGTTTTGCTAGTCCTTCCTCCACCTCCTGGTCTGCTCTGCCGCGTACCACGCTGGTGGGGAGCTGGGCGGTCTTAGCTTAAAACAGTGGAAAGTTTGCTGAGCTGCTGACCGAGTGTGACCACTGCCAAGTTCTCTGACCTTCTGGTGCCCTCCATCAGTCAAGCTGGCTGAAATCAAGTCTGGTAAAAAGCAGATGTTGCACCTGTGCTAAATGTTTCATTCCTCAGTTTGGCTAATTTGTACACAAACATTTCATTTTAAGATGTATGTAAGCTTTTTCCTGGCGAGAGACGTGTTCAATGATGTGTTTAAATTGAATGCTGTTGCTTTTGGTTAGGACTGGGAAGGTGCTTGCAATTTTAAGTCCATTTTGAGAGCTTTGCTAACGTGATGTCCTTAATTTGTCTCCTTTTTTTACGATTTAAAAAAAATACAGTGAGGTTGATATTGTGATATTCTTCTAGATGGGCAGCAGATCTGGGAAATGGAGGCAACAGTGGACAAAGATAAGAGCCAGCCTGTAAGTATGCAAAACATTGGATGTCCTCTCCTTGAGCTCCTCAGACAGCAAGTTGTATTCAAGGGGTAGTTTTCAAAGAGCGTCTCAAAAGCAGAAAGAGCAGCTATCTTGCTGCTGTGATGAACAAATGTCAAATGCTTCAGCAGTAAATGTGTTGCAAAAAGAAACTATTCATTTAGCAGTAACCCACAGCAAATTGAATAACTGCTAGATTTTGTGTTCTTGCAGAAGACTCTATTGTACCAGCCCGTCCTCTGCAGGATGCTGGCTGTCCTGACTTCCTTTCGCCTGCATGGAAGTCCTGGGTGCTCTGTGCTTTGCAGGACAGGATCTGTGCTGTAGTATCTAAAATGAACATTGATCTTTCAAGGGAATAAGCCTCTTTGTTCACTTTGCTTAATGGGACCTTACTGTAGTTCATTGCATTTAGGAGCTAGCACTTACATTGCCATGGGCCATGCCTGCCCTTGCGGAAGAGAACGGGACGCTTGCTATGAATTTCCATGGAAGCAGGATCTGGCTGTGTATAAGTAAAAGCCTATAGAATAATCAAGTTTATTCTAACAAAGAGAATACTGCAATACATACTTGTTTATCAAGCACAGTGTCATTAACAATACTGCTGCATTGATCACCATTCCGCGTGTTTTATTTGTAGCTGAGACTTCTCTCTCCAAGTTCAGGACAGCATCAGGTACAAGAGAGGATACAGTACCTAGAAACCGGCTTCCTAGTACCAAAAATCTTCTAGTCTTTCACCATCTGCTCTTTTTTTCCTTTCTTCTTCTCATGCCCATCTTTATAGGGACGAATAGGAAGATTTCTCTTCCTTTATGTCTGGACGCGTAACAGGGGAGATCCACTGCAGGGATCTGCAGTCAGCCTCAGTCACTAATTCTATTCTGTCACCTTTTGTTGTTTCAGAGCATGCTTTTTGTAGAAATACCAGAGTACCGTAACAAGCACATTCGCACAGCTGTGAAGGTGAATTTCTACGTCATCAATGGGAAAAGAAAAAGAAGCCAGCCCCAGCATTTCACCTATCACCCAGGTAATTCTCAAGGACAGAGCAAGTTGTTGCCTAGTTCTCATGAGCAAGATTTTCTTTTCTGCTGTGCGGTTTTCTTGCCATTATTTGAGGATCTAAGATCTACTAATTCAGCTGAGGGCAGCTAAGCACTTAACAGCTGTTTGGTTTAAAGGATGCATGTGATTTATGATGAGGAATTTCCCATAAATTTAAGGGGACAGTTATCTTGGCAATGGGCTGATGCTGCCCCATTCACTTGATGGAAGTTTGCCAGCAGCCTTAGTGGGAGCAGACTCAGTCTGTGACATGATGTGACCCTGTGAAAACCATGAGCATTGCCTTCCCCAGCTGACGTGTATGACAGTAAGATAACATCGGATCTGGGAAAGTAACAGGGGCTTGGTATGGAGGAAGACAAGCAATATATGTTCTTCAGAATGAAGCTGGTTAAGGAAAGTATGAATGCTTTTCTGATGTTCTTCCTCTTGGGAATTGATGAGCCATGTCACAATAAATGCAGTAGGATTACTAATGAGATTCCCAGAATTTCTCAGCTTTGGCTGGGAGAAAAATATTGTGAGAAAATCAGAGTATTCTGTTTGTGGAAACCAGAAAGCATAAAATAACTACCAGATTTTATGCAAGCTTCAAAATGATGTCTTAATTTGACTGGTTTCTAAGGACGGGTAAACATTCACTCTGATTCTTAGTTTGGTCTCCTCCAGCCTGAAAACCTCCGGTCATTTCCCTGAATGTATGAACCATATAGGGTATCACCAATGTGAAGGGGTTGTATAGTTGTTAAATTGTTCTGCTGTGGAATAGTATCGAGAAGAACAATACTATCTCAACATGATCCCTACAACAGAACACTTCAGAGAAGGAATCCTTACACTTCCAAAAAATAACCCTGTTGCTTGACCTTTCAATGGTTTCCATTGTGTGGTATTTCTGTACTGAGTTTTGGGGAAGATCTGACAAAAAAAGCATTAGAAATGTGAGAATTTGGCTGTAGAGGACCATCGTTTATACACACCAAGGTTCACACAACTTTTAGTAAATCATGGTCTTTTAAATGATGGTGTCAGAAAGGTCTTCAGCTGTCAGTCCTGAGGAAGTTACATGCAGCAAAGGAACTAAAAAGCAAGCTCTAGAATAGTTTAGCTCCGCCTTTGGTCACTAGCTAAATGTTTGACAGAAAATGAGGAGTTCTGTATGTCACATGTTTATTCTGTCTTCCTTTGATATGGAAGTACTACACGGAACACCTATCTATTGCTGCATATTTTGCTTATGTTCCAGAATGGCCCTTAAATTAATGAAAATATGAGCTAAAGTATTGAAATTTTCAAGTTTTAGAGATTTGTGGTTAAATAGATCATTAAAGATTTTCAAGAACATCTTAGAGTGCTTTCAAGAGAGACTCTGCCATGATTGCATATACGTGATTTATTAAACTCAATGTCTGCGAGATACAAGCTTGCACATGCAAATCTTGTAAACGGCTTAAATCTCTTATTACTTCAAGGAAAACCTGTTTCTCATCATCTTGTTACGAATAACGTCCTTTGCATGCTTTATTCTAGTACCATCAATCAAAACAGAGCCCATTGATGACTATGATCCAGCCTTAATCTGCAATACAGTACACAGTGGTCTGGGAACAGTAACACAGCCTTACTATTCACAGCATACAATGGTCACCGAATCCCCTTCCTGTCTTGTGGCCACTATGGCTCCTTGCCAGCAGTTGCGCTCAGGCCTTTCTTCTCCTGATTCTCGATACCATCAGCAGAATCCGGCAGCTGTAATATACCAAAGAAGCAAGAGCCTTAGCCCGAGCCAGCTGGGCTACCAGCAATCCAATTTGATGGCTACACCGATCACTATTTCAGATGCCCATAGGTCAGTGCTGGTGCACGCTGGTTCTCCAGGCCAAACTTCAGCGGTGCTCCACCACTCCCCAGGCAACCAGCAGTCTTCTCCAGTGATTCACTATTCTCCAACCAACCAGCAGCTGAGGTGTGGAAGTCACCAAGAATTTCAGCACATCATGTGCTGTGAAAATTTTACGTCCAATGTTGCAAGATCCAGCCAGCCCCAGGTCAGTCAAGCACAAAGGTTAAGTCCGAGTTCATACCCTACCGTGATTCAGCAGCAGACAGCCTCGGGCCAGCGAGCAGCAAAAAATGGACCACCGGTTAGCGACCAGAAAGAAGTGTTACCAGCTGGAGTCACTATTAAACAGGAACAGAACCTGGACCAAGCATATCTGGATGACGGTAAGCACCGCTCTTCTCTTGTATGGGTTGGTTTGTTGGAGGGAGGGAGGAAGTTTGGGACTTTTGAATCCCACCTGTTCCTCTGCACAAAACCAACGAGGCCTCTTTGTGATGGGTGTGGATATTTGCTGTTTGCTCATGCTGCATTTTGGTCTTTCATCAACTGCATTTTTGGTAGATGGCAATGCACTTTGGCAACCGAGCAAAAACCAGAGTGTTCTGGAGAAACTCTGTCTTGCTTCGTGCCTTGGAGTGAGCTGTCAGGTTTCAAGCTCTTGCCATTTTGTTTCCATTTGCCAAAGGTTAGTTTGGAAAATGGAGAATCTGAAACAAAATGCACTTTTTAAATTATTTTTTTATTATTCATATCAGGGCAAAGTCCACTTCGTAAAATGCTTTTGTACATTTTGTACCAAAAAAAAAAGCCCATTGAACAGTCTATCAAGGCCTGTAATGAATGGGGTAGTGCTGCAGGCAAAAACTATTGCAGATGTTCTAGATGAACAGTAGGACATTGATAAGTAAAACAATGCTGTTTCTTTGTTGTGAGCACAGCAGATTTAGCCTTTAGGAATGAATGTAAGTTAGAGTAAAGCTTTCTTTGAACATATCCTGCTTATTCTTAGGTAGGCAGCTATTGGCAATCTGGTTGATTGGTTCTTTTATTAAAGTATGTTCCTTGCAAGAGGAAATTAATGCAAAGTTAATAGTGCAGCTGGACGCTGCAATCATAAAGGCCAGTAGCAAAACTGACATTGATTTTAGTGGGAGCAGAGTGAGGCTGCTGGATATATTGCTGCAAATATAGGGTGTTCTTATGCGTGAAGTACAGACCTGATTTTCACATACATTCATTGCTGCTGTCCTCTCAGTCTAGGCAATTGCATGCCTGGTTTGATCTGGTGAATGTGCTGTGCCGGCACCCAGGAGTTTGGGATTCTTCCTGCAGTTACTCACCTGGAGTTGTGAAATTGTGCCCGTGGAAGTTTTATTTGCTTAGACTTAGGTACTGAGTGCTCTGTGGCTCTATCACATACAGTTTTCATTGCTGCTTTTGTGGGCAGAGTAGAGTTTGGATGGTTTTCTCCGTTGGTCTGTGTTTGAAATGTGGTTGATACAGCTTTGGTGCCATCACAGTGAAACTTGGAGAGTTTTTTGTGGTCTCCTTGTCTGAAGAGAAGTGTTGAATTGAGTTTTAACGGTGAATTTGATTTAGGAGATTTGCTGGATCTGCAAGAAAATAGCTATGTAAAACCCACTTCCCATTCAGGGAATAGGGCGTGATAACAAAGAAAGATAATTTTTGTAATAGTAAAATTGAACACTGTGCTTTAACATACTTTTAGTATGAGAGGCTGAGAGATTCTTCCATGTTTCTAAAAATACTTGGTACAAACTTTGTAAAAGAAGTAACAAAGAACAAATCTTGAAGTTAAAGCTAGCAAACTTCAGAGTCGAGCCAAAGTCCACTTAAATGAACTCCCAAAATGGACTGCAAAATTAATTTTGAATCAGGCCAGTAACATCTAACTATAGCATAGGTCACAAGGGATGTGCTTGACCTCTGTGCTAAGAGGAGCCATTAGGCAGAATAGCAGCAAGTTAATAATGAAATTCCAGGCTTCTGCTTGGCTGACTGGATCATCCTGAATTGATTTCAACTAGAGATTAATTTATCAGTTATGCCACCCAAGTCAGGCCAAGCGAGATCGGTCACATGTAGTCTCTTTACTGACCTTAGTGAGTTTACATTAGTTAGAAGTGTGTCTCGGAGAATTGTGATTTACTTTAGCACTTTGCAAAACATTTCATTCTGAAATGTTCAGGACTTGAATTGAAAAGCCACTTTGTTTGCTGCTGGGGAAAAGTGACTCAGAACGTAACAAAAGCCATATTTTTCCTAACTAGAAAGTTTATTTTTGTACTTTATAGTATTAAAAGAAAGCAAACCCAAAGGATTATGGAGGCTTTACCCTCAAATCCTTCCGAGATAAAGTGAGTTGTTAGGTCTTGCTGTGATTTTTCAGGGATAGTACTGAGATGATGGCTCCCCAGCCAGGCTTGGCATGAGTGCGCTGCACTGCCGCTGATGCACAGACTCTTAGGCAATCACTGTTTCAGTGTCTCTCACTTCCCTTCACTCTTCTTCCCTTTCCCCATCTTCCTCCTCCCTCTTCTTTGTTCTTCTTTCTCCATATTTCTGCTGACAGTCCAGCTTCTGTCCCTTTCTATGGTTGTGACCTTCTCTCGTCAACTCTTGTCCTCTGCCTTCGTGGTTAATGGGCAGCCCTGGTGTTCTGGACTTTGCTTCTATTCTGAGCTTTGCCACGAACTTCTTGAGTGACCTGGGACAAGCCCTGCTCTGTCGGTTCCTCATTCCTGAAGCTGTTGCCTCTCAGAGTGGGTACTCTGTCCCAGTCTTTCAGATCTCTTGGAAGTGACGAGAGAGCATCTCATAGCTAACACAATTGCTGTTTCTTTTTACCTCTTCCAGCTTCCTGCTGCCTCTGCTGGCAGGACCCTTCATTATTTTCTTATCTTCCCTGCTGTAAGAAAAAAGTATTTGTCCTTCTTCCTGAGACCATGGTTTGTTCTTTGCTCAGAGCCTTCACTGCTCCACAGGGCACATAATGCCGGGGACCTAATGCACTTGACCTGTCTTTACCTCCTGCATTGTAAAGATAAGAGCTGGTTCCACCTCCACAGGGGGATTATAGTCAAATGTGTGACCACAGCTCACAAAACTGTACGCTCTCGAGGTTGAATAGCACCAGCAGTGTAGCCAAAAGAGCGTGGACCTTAAGGCAGGTGATGGCAAGTTTTTACTTATCTTCTGGGTGGGTTTTGCCATGTGCGAGGAACTCTTTGTGCAGTAGCTGCACAACTGGTACCATCCGTACTGGCTACCCTAACGGTTGCTTTAGCAAGTCTCTAGCTCATTTCTGACCATACTGCAGATGTGGAGACCTCCCATGTGCTTTCTTGGAAGGAGATGTTTGCCCCTGTTCTCCTCTTCCTGGTGCTACCTCAGAGCAGGAGGTGCCCAGCCTATGCAGCCCCCTCCAGCAACTTCTCAGCTTTCCCCTCCCAGGCAGAATTACGAAATGTGTGGTTACTGGAAGGAAGGCTCTAGCTATGGAGGTTGGATTTGGAAATGCAGCCATAAGGGAGACTGCTGCAGGTCAGATATTGTCACACATATGTATACCTTCATATATATATTCTTCCATATACCTCCATATTTCTCTGTCAAAAAAAATCCATAACTTTTTGATATCAAATAGTGTAAAGGTGAATCCCCAGAGGAAGGGACTATTCATGAAAAATTGGCAGAGAAACCTCTGTTCCCCACCTCTGCCTCAGAGATTCATCGCTCTTGGAGGTTCTTTGGGTGTGAAGATAAGCCATGGTCAGGAGATCCTTCAGGACCCATCAGGTGCCCAGGCTAAAGCTGGCAAGCAGCGATTCTTTTCAAATGCAAGTGAAAGCCATAGGATGAGAGAGTGCTCAGCATGTTTCAGCCAAGGCTGCCTCTTAATATTGTTCGTAACCAAACCACCAACACTGGTAAAAGTTACCCAAACCACCACAGAAATATGTTGTCAAATAGAACTTATTTCTTCCAGGACCTTCAGAGCAATCAGATGAGCTATTTAAAGCACAAGCTCAGTTAAAAAACTTAGTTATTTGCAGCACCATCCAAAATCCCTTGGTGGGGCAGGATGAAAAGAGAGGGGACCCAGGGCTTGGGGCACGGGCCGTGCCCTGCACTGCCCATGCCCGTGCTGCAGAGCCAGAGGTTGCTGCGTCGCCCTGGGGAAGCCGCTCAGCTGCCGTGAGCCGCAGTTCCCCATCTGCGACACAGAGAGAGGAGGATCGTGTGACAAGAGCAATAGGAGGATAAATGCTTCACAGACCCTAAAGCACTTGGATGCGACACGATCTAGAAGTGCCTTGTAGAGATTGAGTGTCAAGTATGGTGTTAGGCTCTTTCCATATACAAATAATGGACGTGTAGCTCTTGTCTTGAATGTTATCAACTTGCCTGCCTTAGATTTAGTTCTTCTTTTCGACTCAGCTGTCATGTTGTGTGCTTTTTACTTTATAAAGAAAAATCCCTGTCATTATTCAAATAGTAACTATCTAACCACATCTGACACTCGAACTGTCTGCTTGACACAGCAGCTCTAAATTATTTTTGGTGCACCAGTAATCTTTAATGGGGAGGAGAAAAGCAAGGCAGATGCTTGTGCAGTGGTTTATCAGACTGCCGATCAGCAGAGATGTTTTATAGTGAATTCACGTATTTCACAGAAAATTTCAGGCACAGCAGGTATTTCTTTAGAAAATGGATCTGCAGGGTGTGCAGTGTGGTGCTGGTAAATCACCCAGCACTTTCGATCACCTTTGCTACGAGCAATGTGTTAATTTGTGCAGTTTTGCTCCCCACCGCAGTAACCATTGCCCTCTCCATGGGTCTCATCCAAGACCATTCAGAGCCTGTTAGGTCCCTGCATTTCTTTTTGTGTTCTTTCATTCAACAACAAGAAAATCTACAGTCTGTCCCCACAGTGGCATGAAATGAAATTCAAATCCCTTCTTTCCTCCATGTTCAGGAAGAATCTTTCTTTTCTGACCAGCGTTTTTTCTCCTTAGGCGGGTAGCTGTTACGCACAAGCCTGAGCAGGGTGTACCTCCAGGAAACCCCGGGTCTCCTGGGGACCCGAGACGCAAAACTACTGTGTTAGCCCTGAGCAAGCTCAGTCCGGGACTGAGCTCTTTCCTGCGGCTTTGGTCTCACGCAGCCCACTCCGTGCTGGTCCCACGGCTCCTCGGGGAGACAGGCATGCGTGTGCGGAGGAGAGGAGGGGTCATTGCAGCCAGGAGGGAAGGCGAGACACAGGGCTCCCCGCAGTCGATGGGGTCCTACGGGCTCGGCTGGGGTGCCGGCACGTTGTGAGCATCCTGCTCGTGCTCCCCAGCCCCTGCACGGCGGATGGAGCAGGGGGTGGCACGAAGCTTGCTGCCAGCCGGGGATTTCCCTGTGCGGGAACCTCGGCCGTGCGGTCAGCGCAGGTTTAAGCCCTCCATGCGTTAGAGCAGTGGAGCCATGCTAGCAGGGGCCAGGGGTCTGACCGCCTGCCTGGCTGTAAAGCCGCTTTTCTCTCTTACCACTGTATTGATTTCACTCTCAGAAAGCACAGAAGACGGTGGCTTTAGGGGCATGTTTTAGCTGGGTTTGTAGTTGTTTTCATCATGTGTCCATGCAGAGAGTAAAATAGCAATACAGGGCAGAGGGGGAAAGGTTCCTGTTGCTGGACATTTTAGACAGGAGTGAATTTGAATGCTGCAAGTGAGCTGTGGTTCAGTTAGAGCAACAATGTGCATCAAAAAAAGCCATGCTCTGTTTTTAATTAGAACTACTTTTCATAGAAGGTGTGGTCACTGCCGCTCAGGCAGAGTTTGACTAAGAGTGAAGCATGTATGTTCTCCAAAACATTTTGCTCAAACACTCTAGCAAATCTACGTAGTCATCAGACTCATTCTTGAAGCTCTGACTCACTTTATTTCCAGATTTTCTGTTCTCTGTTGGGATCTTACAGCACTCCTTGGGTACGCTACACGCTTTATTTTTGGATCACTGCTATTGTGGGTTTGTGTCGCGTTAGGATCTAAGTGCCCCAGTCATATGACAGAGTCTTGCTTTTCTGGACACAACGTGAAAAGAGAACAGAAAGGTGATTCTGTTCCCAAAAACCTGTAGTCTGTTGGCAGGGAGTAGAAAGATCAGTGTATCAGGAGGAAGGTCTCCTAGGTTGTGTCTGAGCTTGGCCTTTCAGCAAAGTATTTAACTTTCCTGTACCTCAGTTTACCATTATTAAACAGTATCTTGCTATCCTTCCTTCTAGTACAGTTAAGCATTTAATTCATCCATGTTACTAAAACATGGATTCTCAGTAAAAAAAGCTGCATACCTGAATAAGAAAAAAGTAGTTGTATTGTTATGGCAGGCTGGCATCCGATGTCTTCTTCACCTCTAGAAACAATACGCTATATGAGAATTCAGACAAATCCAGCCCCTTTTCAAGCCCACTCTTCCCCCAGCAGTCTTTCTGAGCGGCTGTCCTGCTGCCGAAAAACAGGCAAAACAAAACAAAGCAAGAAAAAGAAAAACCCATACATCCAAAATCAGCAGTGGAGGAAGGAAGAAAATGAATCAAGTGATTAAAACCATAGTTCCACTGGCACCTCTTTGTTCTCCAGCTCAGGAATCTTTAATTGGTGCAGTAAGTGCCCACAGGCAAGTTGTGTTACAAAGCGTTTCCTGTTCAAAAGAACATGCAGACTCCATTAGGAGACCACGGGCACCGCCGCCAAGAACTGACACTGGGGACGGGTACGTGAGTGCTCTCTTGGTGCCTCGATGGGCAGGGTCCCGCCACCAACTGATGCACCAAGACAGTAAACCCCAATTCTACGATTTGCTGGTGGAAGGCATGCCACTGTTTGAAGGCTAAACCAGTGGGCTGTTATCAGCAGAAAGCGCTCAGTTTTCAGAAGGCATCAAGCAATTTTCAATGATAGTTTTGAAATACTGGCAAAGAGTTGCTTGAAAAAAAGAACTTGTTCTTGCAGTTGGGAATTGAAAGCTTCTAAACCACAATAAAGTCCTTTCCCAGACTTGCTGTCCATTTACTCCACGCTCATGGCATTCCTTAGACAGTCTGAATCACAGACAGCAGACAGCTCTTATAAAGAAGACCATAGGCACCCATCTGTTGGAAGACATCTGCCAAAACAGACCATACATTTACTTTTGTTCCTTCAATCCACTTTCAATTTAAAGGGATAACAACAATAACATTTTTCAGCCCAGGGACACTATTCATCCAGTGCAGAGAAACGGTAATGAATTAAAATAATTCCACTGCAGAGGGAAGCAGACAAGCTTTTCCCCAGCTTTTACAGATGGGTGCAGTGGGGTGCAGAGCTTTGAAGTGATGTGCCCCAGCTGGTGCAAGAAGTCCCTGGTAGAACCGTACCTTGCCTTGGGGCTGCCCGGTCCCCCAGCTGCATCCCTCGCACAGACGTGGGGGTACCAAAGGCACGTGAAGCTGTCAGCGGGTGTGCAGGAGCTAGGGCAGCGCTGGCCACGCCGCAGGCTGTTAAAACACGTGTTGCACTAACCGCTCTCTCCTTTTTCTGTCTTTCCACCGGACTCACTCCTTTCATACTATGCGTATCAAAGAATACTACCTGCTTTCCAGAAGGGAACGATTGATTGCTGGCAAGTAGTATGCTACTTACCACCGAGAACAGGCATGTCTATTAGGAACACCCTCATTTCTCAGGGCAAAGTCTGGAGACAGAACGAAGCTGTCGTGTGAGCAAGGACAGGATGTGAGGAAAATGAATCAGTGGTCTTCCTGCCAGCTCGGGGTGACACTGGGTGTTTTACACAGAAATTCTTTCAGTTCAGTCAAAATCATAACTGTTTTGACACCATTTTTTAAAAATGGGGGCTTTGGAGATGAGAAGCAAGAACTGCGCGGATAGGAAATGGCTTATAACAGAACTGCGAAGCAGGAAAGGGGGTTAACTCCTTCTAGAGCTCAAGTCACCATTTTGCATTGAACGAGAGCAGCACTCCCTGGAAACCTTTAACAAGGCTTGTTTTACACTGAGGCAGCTTACCGCATAACTATGCTGGTTAAGGTGGTTGATGTTTTTATTATTTTGCTAACACAGCTATTATGGTAAAAGCCCTTGTAGACACAGCTCTGTTGGTGTAGAAACGCTGGACTCAGCACGGCTTACGCCAGGTCAGGGAACCACCAGCAGCTGTTGCGCTGAAGGGGTGGATGACTGTTGGTGCTGAAGGGTTTCACCAGCAACGCCAGTGCCACGGAGCTGGCTGAGCTCGCCGGGGCAGCCGCAGCGTATGCGGTGTAAGGGATTTCATGTGCGCAATAACTGCACGAGCTCAGCTTGCTGGCTTTGTGTGTTGACCACCTCAAAATGAATCCTAGAGTTCGTAACTTCCAGCAAAGATGATGCAATGTGCTGGATTCATTTATTAGAAAGACGCTTTGCTGGGGGGAGTCATACCCCCCCTGACAGCTATATAAGGAACCTGCAGCTAGGTATGTATTTATCCTCACAGTTTGTCCTGTTTTCTCCCCTTTAAAATTAGCATGATGTAATTAAGTATAACCAGTGAACTGGCTTACATCCACATGGCAGCTCAAAGCTTTTGCTAATTCTTTGCAATTTCATTGTGAGTCTTGGAATATTTATAGCAATTTAAAAGTCCCTGTGCAGGTGACTGCAGAAAATACGAGAGTTGTTTTTTTCTTAGTGATCTTTTCAAGTCCAGTCCAAGAAAAACCAAAACATTAAAACTATGAACCTCGGTGTTTCAGTCTTTCAAAACCCAGGCAGACAAAAATGATGCAACTTTGAGGGCGGGGGGTTGATTGCATGATTTTAAAACCAATCGCATGATTATTAGAGGCCTGACTCATGAACCTTTTTTATTCCTGCTCTTCACAGTTTCATTTGTTACAAATTCTGTTAATGTGCAAAAGTGGGAAAGGGTAGGGGTCTTGTCACCCTTTAAAGCACAATATAATACATGGGAGGATTCAGCTCCTGCTGCAAAGGCTCGCAAAAAGGCAGCTTGAGCCATTTTCGAACAGCACTTCTGAAATCTTGCAAGCAGCTGCAAAGAGCCCTGCTGCTTTGAAAAGTTTGGACAACATCTGCGCATTTCTTTAACTATTGTGAAATAAAATGCCTGGCAAGAATAACCATCTTAAAGATATACAGTCTGTTTATGGTGCAAACTGAAAGCCAGTTATAAAGTCTTCTACTATAGAAAACCGGCTGGATTCTCAGCATTATTCACACAAGCAGAACTTTTCCAGTTAAGGCAGCATGGAGAGCTGATGGAGGACTTTTTGTCTGTATAGATCTTTTCATTTCAAGAATGAAGACCTATAGGTGATTAATTTGAAACTAATTTTTTTCTTCCACCTGCTTTTCATACTTTGCTTCTTATGAAAATACTGTTATTGTTGTTATTATTATTATTATTAAAAAATCATTGGACATTTTAAAATAAAAGATTGAGGACGAATCATCTGAATTTCCCATCAAAGTTAGTTTTCTTGCAAGAACTCTAAATAGTGCGAGCCACTTTTCTGCCCAGCAGAAGCTGGTATGGCCTTATATTTCCTGGTCATTTTATAGTGCTGCTTACTCACCAGTTCCAAGAGACTTCTGTGCTCTAATTTGGATGCAGTATGTTTTTAGAGGAATTGTAAAAGCAGACTGGACAAACGTACAAGAAGACAATCCTGTATTGGCTACGAGAGGTAGCAGATGACCTAATAGGTCATTCCAACTTCTGTGATTTGAAAAACAAGCAGCACATCTGTAGTCGTGCCAGCAGGAGAGTCAGAGATAGGAGAAGAAGAGCAAATACTTGAAGACCATTAAAATGCCTTCCCAGCATATTAGCTCCTAATTTGAATTTTCAACAAGCTGTTGGCTTTCGCACTCTTTCTCATTTTGTAATAGAACTTTTTCTATGTTTACCAGGAAGAAACCAGAGGAAGGTAAAAGCCAACCTAAGACTTAAAAACAATGCATTTGTGTCTGAATCATGACTCCAAGTCCCCATGCTTCGATTTTGCAAGCACAGAAACCTGGGCGTACATCCAGCTGTGAATTTTACAGATGGATCCTCTCTCTAAAAGGGGTCTGCACAAAACCCCTAAATCCAAGTACTCCCAACTTTGCAAACATTCATATTCTCCAGTTTAGGTGCATGTCACTGCAGTCTGTCTGGCAATTAAAGTTCTGATCTCTCCGTATTCGCATGACTAATGGCCTATTAACAATGACTTTGAAGACTTGGTCTTGAGTTGGATTTAACCAGTGTTAGGTATAAAAGAG